TTATAATTCCGGCCAAATTTATGTCCGTTTTTATAATTCTGGCCAAATTTGCAAACGGACATTAATGTCCGTTTTATAATTCCGGCCAAATTTTGCTGGGCGAAATTATCTTAATTCTGGCCAAATTAATGTGTAACCTTGAAAAAAATTTTTGCCTTTTTTATAGTTACAAGGTGGTACAAAATGTACATTAATGCAATCCTTGACCATGAGTTTATAAGTAAATATCCGGTCAAAAGTTATAAAATTGCCTTATTTGTAATTAAATGTTGGTATGTTGTTTGGACCAATCAGATCTCGTGGGCTAATCTGGCCCATGGGCAGTTTATAAGCTAGGATGTAGTGCACGCCCACTTAGCTTAGAAACTATGCCGATCATTTGGCTGGGGTGTTTTTTGATCGAAAATCCATTTACCAATCCTATCATGTGATCAAAATCAAAAATTGAGTACTTTTGAGCTTATTGAACGGTTAACCTTTGGTCACCTTATTTTTCGTATTAATAACCGAAATCCAATGTTTGTGGGATACACCTCTATTTATTCTCTGGCACAATGATAATCCTCGACGAAAATATTTTTCTTTTTTAAAAACGGCAAATAAGCAATACCATAAAGGTATATTAAACTTTTTGAGGGCGCGTATTAAAACTTCACACACGTTAAAAAAAAGTGATCAAAATGATACCATAATTTTTTTGTCAGATCGTTCAGGTCACACAATTTCATCAGCCAATAATTATTAGAACGAACAGGCCTATTATAACTGATAAATCGTGCACAATCTTTACGAGATTGACGTTGGTATTCAGAAAGTGGCTTAAATCCATATTCAGTTTCCATATCACCAACCAAACCTCTTTCAGGCACTTCGATTTGTCAAAACGGATGTTGGATTGACGAATTCAAATTCTGGTAGACATTGTTCGCTTCTATAACAAATACAGCTAGATGGTGCATACCAATTGTACGATGGCTAAAAACGCGACGTAAATTTTATGCAAGTGATATATTCTATAATAGATAACTATATTTAAAAAAAATTAATTTTATATTAGCAATATACTCAAAATTTGTGCCCTTTTTAATCTAAATAGCAAGCCGCTTTTAGCGTTAATTATCTATTGAATGTAAATATGGGCCGATTTTTGTCTTATCTCTAATATACCTTCGGAAAGATATTACTGGAATGCTGTTCTGGACAATAAATCATTTTTTTTTTATTCTTTATTAAATAATCCTTAACAACTATTGTTTATATTTATATTTGGATTTAGAGTTCATATACCCATATAAATGACAGAACACAGCGACATTGAACAAAAAGATCAGTCCCTTTATAATTAATAAAAGTAAAAATTTATAAAATGGTTTTAGATAATTTTAATTAAACTTCATCAAAAAAAACAAAAATACACTTGCTTTCAAAATTAATAACCTTTATTAATATTCTTAATAGGCTGAAATTTTTTAGGCATTTTACTATTTTCTATTAAAAATATCAATCATACAGTAATGTAACGAACCCACGATGTAACGAACTTTCGACTTCTAACCAAACTTTTTTTAGAAAACCAGTTTCATAGTATTTAAAAACATTCTGATATACCGAACATCATATAAACTTTATATAACGTATACCGAACTTTTATTGATTTACCGAAAAAATTATTAATAAACAAGAAAACACACAAAAATACATTTAGCACAACAAAGTCATCATTAATTAATATTAATTAATCAAAAAAAGAAGTCATTGAATTAAAAACTAATGCCACAACGCAAGTTTATAAGAATTATTAGAATAGTTTACTTTGATTATTTATTCTCTAAATAATTCAAAACAACAAAAGTTCATTCTGTTCATTTAGTCGGTCGGTCAGCTCATTACAGCTTAATGTTTGCCTACTACATTTTAAAAAATTATGAAATATTATTAATCTATGCCAGATTTGGTGGCAAAAAGTAATTTTTTTCGTCTCATTTGGGATCAGTGGATGCTGCGGTGAAATGGTAAGCGATGATTGAATTTTTTTAATTTTTTTAATTTTTTTATATTTACCGGTATATATTTAATTTATCTTGGATCAAATTCAATAAAATACTTTGGTTGGAACCCATAGATCAGGAAATGCACTAACTGCTGCGGTGCCATAGTTAGCACTGAGCCACTGACTCTTACCATTAAAATAATGAAATTATTGATGACTAATTAATATAATCAATATTGATTTCCATTCTAATTTACTCGTCATAATTTAATTAATAAAATAAATAAACAATTTTATTTAATAAAAACTAGAAGTTGCCCGTTGCTTCGTACCGGGAGTAGTAGTATTACTATATAATATTAAATTTTTAGTCACAATTAGAAGCTCACTTTGATTAATAATTAGATTATGAGAGAAATAAAATATAAATTAATTTAAATAAAATTAATATGCAGGTAAATATTGTTATGTATCTATATAATTAAAAACAATCTCATCAAAAAAAATATTTTTATGTGAACTTATTAGTCAGAAAATAATATTGAAAAAAACAATCTCAATAAACAAAAAAAGTTCTCATTAGTGCTTCCAGTTCTTTAAATTTACTATCACAATTATCTAACTAATAAAATCTAACAAATACTAACTACTAAGTTATAAAAAAATGATTCATAATTAATTTATGGATATTGTACGGTGTTGTATTTATATTGGTTTAATAACGTCACGAAGTGACGTTAACCAATATAAATATCACCGTACAATATCTATATTATCGTACGGCTAATGCAGATCATGCTCAAATAAACTATCAATATTCGACAAATAAAACCAATAAAACCAGCATGATCCTATAGGGCCGTGCGATAAGTCATGTTTACTTTACAGAGTAGATCAGCCTCAAATTAACTACAAATGGTATCAATCATCAATTTAATTTTTATGAAAAAAAAAGATTATCTATTAATAATCAGTTACAATACAATACTTTCCAATTATTATTGTCAATCTTCATATAAGTTAAAATACACTGATTGTATATATCATCCTGATCTTCGTCTAGAAAATCCAAAGTTACAAAAAATAATTATGAAACTTAACAGAGATTTACTTTTAATGATCTCAGAAAATTTTCAAAATGACAGAATATCACTTTATTCTTGTCTTTTAGTCAACAGATCTTGGTGCGAAGCAATAGTACCGTTATTATGGAAAATTCCTGGATATATTTTACTAACTGAAAAGGCAGAAAATATAATATTTAATATAATACTCTCACATTTTTCAGAAGAATCTAGAGATGTTTTGATGAAGAAAGGGATCGATCTTTTTACTGAAATTTATCAGAAACCTTCATTTAATTATATTCATTTTTGGAGACATCTAGATCTACATCTTTTTGACAGAATTATTACCAGAAATTTTGACAAGTCAGACATATCTATGATAAGAAATGAATTATTAAAGTTATTTGTTAATAATAATACAAATTTTATTTCACTTTTTTTTCCGTATGATTATAAATGTCAAGTTAACTGGAATATTCGATGCTTTTCAAATCTTAAATATTTTTATTTTTGTAATGACATTGATCAAAATATTTTAAAAGAATTAGCTACAGTAAGCAAATCGATTAAAATATTTAATTGTGATGTTGTTAATTGTAATGATATTTCTGGAATCATTAGATTAATTGAAGTTCAAAAAAATCTAGATAGTGTCCGTATTAGTAGATGTGATAAATATGAAACCTGGCAATCTATTGAAGAAGTACTAATTAAAAAAGCGATCACTGTCCAAAATTTATATTTATCTTATAATTGGCACTTTGATGTTGATTTAAAATTTCTTTCACATTTTGTAAATTTAAAAAGTTTAGAAATAATTGAATGTTCAAGGCCTCCAAATCAAAACGGTACTATTCTAAATTTAAATCAATCAGAGAAAATGTCTTTACCTGCTTTAAAAATCCTAAAAACTAATCAAGTGTCATTTATTATGATGACAAGATTAATTGAAAGTGCAAATGTACAACTTACTGTAATTGATATTCATTTTGAAGATATTTTTTGTGACTTTGAAGATGTTAGAAGATTTTTCCAAGCAATTTATCAAAATTGTCCAAATATTGAATATTTAACCCTTCCAATTAAAGATTATGTTCTTATTGAATTTGAAAGGTTATTGATTAATTGTCAACATTTAATTGGGTTAGTTATTAGGAGTGAAAGAGGTCTCCAATATAAGAGTTTATTTGAAATATTAAATAAATCATCACCAAGTAGTTTGATTAAGTTTGGATTTTCTCTTAACCGAAAGTTTGGGGGTAAATATAAATTATTAAGATCATTTCTTGCTAATTGGAAAGATAGACATACTATGTTATTACAAATTTGGCCAGTAAATTATATTCTAGGACATGAAAAGGAAGTTAACCGATTATATGAACTAATTAAATATTATGAAGCAAGAGGAATAGTCAAACAAATTGATTGGGGAATTAATTGGTGTTATGATTCAGAAGAATCTATTTGGATTGAAAAAAGATATTTTTATTAAATGCAAATATGTATATTCTATAGTGCTATACTATCCAATGCAATTTATTTTATATTAAAATAAAAATAATTAATTAACTCACATAATTTATTACTAGCATTAGGTCGTTTTAAAGGGTCTGCATCCCAACATTGAATAATGTCAAAAATTAATTGAGGAATTTTATAATTGGACTTTGACCTCAACCCCTACAAATTTAGATATATTATGATAAGGAGGCAATCCCGTACAAGTTTCATATGCAATGATCCCAAATCCATAAATATCACATGCTTGAATATATTTTTTTCCTCTTAAAACTTCTGGAGCTACATAAAGTAATACTCCATATGATTTTTATTATTATTTTAAGAGGATTTATCATTTGCCGGTTGACATAATCCTAACTCCTAAGTCAGTAATATAAGCCTGATGGATATTATTGCTTAATATACCCACAATGAAAATCTTGATGAATTAATCCTTTATTATGAATATCATTAAGACCATATGCAATACTATGTAAAGTTAACAACTTTTTCATTGAAATGAAGTTGTCATTTAAATGTTGTCTTAAACTATCTTTTTTTAAATCCATCACCATTATAAAATCATTTGTTTTTGGATCTTTGGTAATACCAAAACAACGAACTATATAACCAGAATGATATACTAAACTATTTGATTTCAACCTTAGATTGTAGTTAGTTAACATTTATAATGGTTAATAATACTAAATATGTAAGAAATATCTTACTTCTTTTAAAAATTCTGTTGTAATGCCTTGTGAGTTATGTAAACATTTTTTTTTTTTTAAGGTAACTTTCGATTCACCTTTCTTTTCAATCGAATTATTAGATTATCGATTAACAATTCTTGTTCTTTGGTCAAAAAATGATGATCAAACTCTTTTATTTGTTCAAATACATCATCACTTAGTTTATCTTTATCAACTAACGATTTTTGTTCTTTAGTCAAACGATAACGAATAAAATCTTTGATTTGCTCAAATACATGTTTAATTTTGTCCATTTCAAATTTATTAAACAAAAAATATAAAAAATTTGTTATTTAATTCGTATGTAAACTACAAAAAGATAATAAAGAAAAAGAAAAGGACTGAAACGATTATTTTATGTTGCAATGATTCCAGTTAAAATACACTAAATAAAATCTGATCAAGATTATTGTGTTTCCTCTAACTTTTATGAATGTTGATTAAAGAATTTGTTAATTTTATGGATTGATATCGTATTAACTTAATATCTGAAAATAATTTATAAAGAATTGTGAAAAAAATTTATAATATATTAAAACAAATTATTCTGATGATTTATTAGTCGAAGGACTATATACTTGACAAACCCTATAAGAAATATGTATACGGAAAGGATACGTTTTGTATACATTTTATGTACGTTTCTATAGATTCCGTATACAAATTCCGTATATTTAATAAGCAATTCATTTTTGAACATTTTTTTAAAAAACTAATGTATACGGAAAAAATTAATCATACGGAATGTATACGGAATTTTTAAACTTAATATTTTTAGAAAATAATTTTACAAAAATCTCGTATCATAACACGAGATCACGTGATTGTTTATTGTTTTGTTATGATACGTTTTTTGTTTTT